GAGGATCGAGAACACGTAAAAAAAGTACAACCAATACAAGTGATATTGGAAGGGAGAAGATCGAAAGATATATGTAAAGAACGAAGGAGTCGTAATGTACTTGAGCCGTTGTTTTTCCTTTTCTTTGGCAATGTCATCGAGGACATGCGACCCTAAAACACTATTGTCTCATTGTCTCCCATTTAATTTTAGCTGCACCGAAAAGAGAGTAAGTTGTAGCATGGGATTCCATTTGCCTTACAGAACTCTCTCAATTTCTTTCTGCCAAGCTAGGCTCATCTCCAGCCACAAAACATATTTAAATTTAAATCTTCAACCCAGCCGAATACCGTTTAGATGACATAACAATCTTGAACTTTGGACCATTTTTTGCAGATATGATGCTTGAATGATCACTTAAAATATAGACGGTTTAACTTGATTGTATGTGTATGCATACATATCCACAAAAATAATCATACTTGGTTGAGAGTGGGAGGGATTTTGGCGATGGAAAGGAGGTCCTCCAGCAGTTTGCAACCGAAGTTACTGACGCTAAAGTGAGAGAAAGAGAGAGAGAAGGTCCTCCAGCAGTTTGCAACCGAAGTTACTCTTTCATTTCATCCATCCAGCTTGTATTCTATGGTTGAGGTCTCTATTTAATTCTCCGTTCTTTTGCAAGATCGATCCTAGGTAGCGAAAGCGATCACTCTTTGGTACTTCCTGATCTCCGATCCTCACCCCTAACTCATTTTGGCCTCCATTTGCATTGAACTTGCACTCCATATATTCTATCTTTGATCGGCTTAGGCGAAGACCTTTAGATTCCAACACTTCTCTCCAAAGGTTAAACTTCACATTTACCCATTCCTGAGTTTCATCTATCAACACTATATCGTCTACGAAAAGCATACACCAAGGAATATCATCTTGAATATGTCCCGTTAACTTATCCATTACCAATGCAAAAAGGTAATTACTTAAAGATGAGCCTTGATGTAACCCAACAGTTATGGGGAAGCTTTCAATTTGTCCTTTATGAGTTCTTACGGCAGTCTTTACTCCATCATACATATCATTTATAGCTTGGATATATGATACTCGTACTTCTTTCTTCTCTAAAATCCTCCAAAGAATGTCGCTTGGGACCCTATCATATGTTTTTTCCAAATCTATAAAGACCATGTGTAAATCCTTTTTCCTATCTCTATATCTTTCCATCAATCTTCGTAAGAGATAAATTGCATCCATGGTTGAACACTTTGGCATGAACCCGAATTGGTTGTCCAAAACCTGTGTCTCTTGCCTCAATCTATGCTCAATGACTTTCTCCCAGAGCTTCATTGTATGACTCATTAGCTTAATACCCCTATAGTTTATGCAATTTTGTACGTCGCCCTTATTCTTGTAGATAGGCACCAAAGTGCTCTTTCGCCACTCATTGGGCATCTTTTTCGTTTTCAAAATCCTATTGAAAAGGTCTGTGAGCCATACTATACTCGTCTCTCCCAAGACTTTCCACACTTCAATTGGTATATCATTTGGGCCCACTGCTTTTCTATGCTTCATCTTTTTCAAAGCTACAACCACTTATTCTTTCCTGATTCGGCGGCAAAATGAGTAGTTTCTACACTCTTCTGAGTTACTCAACTCCCCCAAAGAAGTACTCATTTCATGTCCTTCATTGAAAAGATTATGAAAATAATCTCTCCATCTGTATTTGATCACGTTCTCTGTAGCAAGAAATTTTCCATCCTCATCCGTGATGCACCTCACTTGGTTTAGGTATCTTGTCTTATTTTCCCTTGCTTTAGCTAGTTTATAGATATCTAACTCTCTTTCTTTGGTATCTAGTTGCTTATACATATCGTCATAAGCCACTAGCTTAGCTTCTCTCACAGCTTTCTTCACCTCCTGCTTCGTTATTCTATACATTTCACCATTTTCATCCGTCATATCCTTGTATAGGGCTTTACAACATTCCTTCTTAGCCTTCACCTTTGTTTGTACCTCCTCATTCCACCACCAAGATTCCTTTTGGTGTGGAGGAAAGCCTTTGGACTCTCCTAATACCTCTTTTGCTACTTTTCGGATACAACTAGCCATGAAATCCCACATTTGGCTAGCTTCCCCCTCTCTATCCCATACGCATTGGGTGAATAATTTCTCTTTGAAAATGACTTGTTTTTCTCCTTTTAGATTCCACCATCTAGTCCTTGCGCACTTTCAGGTCTTGTTCTTTTTTTCTCTCTTTTGATATGTACATACATCACTAACAAGCGATGTTGATTAGCCAAGCTCTCTCCCGGTATAACTTTGCAATCCTTATAAGTTATACGATCCCTTTTCCTCATTAGAAGAAAATCTATTTGTGTTTTTGCCGATCTATTCTTGTGGGTGATCACATGTTCTTCTCTCTTCTTAAATAAGGTGTTGACTAAGAAGAGATCATATGTCATTGCAAAATCCAAGATGGCTTCCCCATTCTCGTTTATCTCCCCAAAACCATGGCCACCATGAAAACCTCCATAGTTGCATGTCTCCTTGCCCACGTGTCCATTTAAATCTCCTCATATAAATATTTTCTTTGTCTGAGCAATTCCTTGCACCAAGTCTCCAAGATATTTCCAAAATTTCTCATTCAAACTCGTATCCAACCCTACTTGAGGTGCGTACGCACTAATCACATTGATGAGTTCTTGTCCTATTACAATCTTGATTGCCATAATTCTATCTCCTACCCTTTTGACATCTACAACATCTTGTGTTAAGGTCTTGTCCATGATGATGCCAACACCGTTTCTCATTCTATTTGTGCCCGAATACCAAAGTTTAAAACCTGAGTTTTCTAGATCATTTGCCTTAAGACCAACCCACTTAGTTTCTTGTAGACACATAATGCTTATCCATCTCCTCACCATAACTTCCACTACTTCCATATATTTTCCCATCAAGGTTCCTCTATTCCACGTTCCTAAACGCATTTTACTCTCTTGAACTCTACCCTTCTGTCCTAGCTTATTCATCATCCCTCGTCTAATAGGATCAAAGTACTTCTTTTGTGTGTCATGTGTAAAGTTGACAGAAGCATATGCTTCCAAACAACTTTGAGTGGAGTTGTTCAAAAAGAAGTTTCTATGACCCCCTTGCTCATTTAACACTGCATCCGGGTGTCGATTGAGATACAACAACCCTTGCTCATTTGTCACTGTGCTCGGGCCACACAGCGCGTCATTTACAGGTGACGCCCTAGGTTTAGCGCGATTTTGTTCTGGATTCATTTTCCATAAGGATTCGACGTAACTAGGAGTGTCGACTGTCGACTACCTGACGCCCTCTCCCTCATCCTTTATCCGAGCTTGGGACCGACAATGTAAGATAAACTTACACAAGAGGAGTTACATTATAATTTCACCCATTATAAAAAATGTAATAAACTAAAACCTTATTTTCCCACCCACTACACCTTCATTCTTTGCACCCCCAGACCCTCCTTGAACTTCCTGTAGTAGCCAAATGCGTTAATTAGTAGCCATGGTTGCAAGTCAAGAAGACAAAGTAGGGAAGAAAGAGTAGCCCACGAAGGACAACTAACCCTCTTTCCCCTTATCATCCCTTCCCTCTTCTCATTCCGCCGCTCTCCTTCTCCTCCTCCTCTCCTTGCCCTTCCTCCACCACCACAATCTCCCATGCTTCCTCTGATCCTCTGCCTCTGTTTTCAACCCAAAATCTCCAATCTTGGTACTGAAATAATACAAGGGCAAAATCCCAAATGAGCTTATTGTTTCCTTTGAAATTTGGATGGTCATTAGTCTCTTGCATTCTCCAACAATAAGTAACTATTGCGGTCTAGGCTACAAGAAAGTTTTAGACCAACAACAACTTTCTGTCGTGGCTGTTGAAGCCGAGGAAGAGATGAAACGGAAGAGAGAGCAAACCACAAGGGACGCAAAGAGAGACGGTTGAGGGGGGGGGGGGAGAAAAGGGGTTGGGTTTAAAAGTCTTTTTCTATAAGAATAAACATGTCACTAATATTTTCATTAAAATGTGGGTGAAAAAAATAGGATAATAGGATGAATTTATCAACCCTTCATACTTATTGTGTTTAAAAACTAGCCGTTTTCTTTCCACTTGTCCCCCTCATAAAATTCAAGCCCAATCGATTTTTACTTCAACTCAATTACTATTTCATTTTTTTTCTTTTTGAGTTCAAAAAAAACAAAAATATTGGTAATTGAAAAAATAAAAAGAATGGCAGACCCTTTGTAATTTCATGTCCAAAAGCATCAAATCCAATTCAAGTCTCCGAAGAAGCCTATTTTGGAAACATTTCAGATTTTACATCAATTGCATCAACCGCTCCGCCGAAATCACCATAAAAAACGATCCCAAGAACTCCGGCTACGCCGTGGAGTCCTGCGCTACCAGGAAGTTTGAGCCGTGACAGGAGGACGGACTTGGGGTTTGGGGAGAGGAGGTGGAGATAAAGAGGACGAGGGCTAGCTGATGAATTCTGTGAAGTGGTTGGAGAACATAAGGGAAGTGGAGATGAAGAGGACGGAGGAAGAGGAGGATGAAGCAATTGTGAAACCGACTGGAATTCATAACTCGAACGATTATGTTCGAAGGATTCTTGAATGTGACATCCATGTGGAAGATGATGATTGAATTTTCATATGTTTGGGTGAGGGAGATGTGGAAGATGAACAGGCTCCCAATTTTTTTATTTTTTTCAAAGGCAAACTTGATATAAGTCCAATTTTTTGAGCCAATAGTAGGAATAGTCTAGTTTATTAAAATAAGTCCAATTTGTTATATTTAATTATTTAATTATCAATAGTTATTTGTTCAATGTAGGGCTGGGCACGGGCCGGGCCGGGCCCATTTTTGAAGGGACCGGACCGAACCCTGAATTAAAGGAGACGGGGCGGGCCGGGACGGGCATTACAAATCTGAAAATAGGAACCGGACCTTACCCGACCTGGTTGAAACGGGCCGGTTCGGTCCGGGTACACGGGTCCTTTTTTTTTTTTTTTGCTGTTTAAAAATGTTTGCTGCACAGATTGCAGTTTGAAAAAACTGCACAGATTCCAGTTTACAGTTTGCACAGATTCCAGTATGGAAAAAATCACAGATTGCAGTTTGAAAAAAATTGCACATATTGCACAGATTGCACAGATTCCAGTTTACACTGATTGCAGTTTGCACAAAACACATTGCACAGATTGCAATAATGCAGTCTTATTAGTGACAACATTTTTATTAAAAACCACCTGTTTAAGAAAAGAGAGAGCCTCTGCCACTGGAACTCCGCTAGAAAAGAGAGAGCCTCTGCCTCTGCCACTGAATTATATCAGTCTAACCAAGGTGTGTCCGACTCCAACTTCTCCAGAGGTGTGTCCTGTATAACATAAATAGATTTTATTAGAAACGTGAAAAAATGTCAAGCAGGCAGCAAATAATTAAACCCTGACTTTAAACCATAATTTAAACCCTGACTTTGTTGCTTTCTGATTGGTTCAAAGCAAATAATTACTCTCTGGGATGGGAAACACAAGCAGGCAGCACAATTAAACAGAGTGAACACACAACACACAGATTGTTGACCGACAAAAGACCAAAAAGGCTGAGAAGTATCATCATGTTATTATACTATGACATTCTTTCACTTTAATTCACTAGGCAATGCAGAAGTTGTGTGAACGTAAAACCACATCCCAGAAAACAATGAACGGATCTAATAACTAGCAGTAAATCTTATAAGTCGTAACGAAATCAAGACTGGAAAATGAAACAGAAAACACTTTCTTTACTAAGCACACTCAAGGAATCCAGAAAGTAACTTGCAGTTTCTATGTTCCAATTCAAGCGTAGTCAACATATGAAAACCTATTCATCAGCATTAGACCGTCTGTCATCCGAAGACCCGTCATTTTTATCCCTTCTTTCCTGCCATCTTGCCCAAAGCTACCTCAAACTAGATACCTTCCAAGAGCAGAAAGCTGAAAGTAGGCAAAGTAACATCATTAAAACAAGACGGGAAGTCGCTGGTTCATGGGAAAAAAATGGACAGAAAACCAACACCTTTTCTGCCTAATGGATAGTGAGCACCATGCTATCAAAATCCGAACTAAATGTACAAGCTTGTGGAGAAAACAACAAAGTTGTGACTAGGTTTTTGCTAATCCGGATAGTTTTTATTAAGAAGACAGAGATTTGTAGCTACCAAGTCCATGCCTCTCCTCAATGGACCGATTATAACAAATTGGAGTCATATCTTCAAACATAAAATCCAATTTAAAAACCCTAAAATCCCGAAAACCCCAAAATCCCAAATTCCAATTTAAAAACCCTAAAATCCCTACACCCAAAATTCAAATTAATAACAAAACCCTAATTCAAAATTACCTAAATTTTAGAGGGATGATGGCTGGTACCAGTGTCCTCGACGACGGTGATGGGGTGATGGCGATCACGACGGCGGGGGTTGCTGTCGAACATGAGAGAATCGACGGCAAGGGTGATGGCCTGGGTTATCTGGGATGTTGTCGAGGAGGATGATGGGTGGTGCCGTTGTATTCGTCGAGGAGAATCGACGGTTGGTGAGGGGATTGGAGTCGAGGGAGTCGAGGGAGTCGAAGGACGGGAACTGTCGAGTCGAGGGACTGAGGTCTGAGAGTTTAAGAGAGTGACAGTGAGAGAGTCGGGAATCGGGGATGAGAAAGATAGAGAACTTAGGTAAAACTAAAACAACGGCTCAGATTAGATATGGTAGCTTATTCATCAATCTGGTCCATTCATTTTAATTACAAACGGACCGGTTCAGGTACCCGCGGTCCTATACTCCAGGAACCGGCCCGAACCGAAAATCACAAAGGCCCGCCCCGGCCCGCCCCATTTCTCTTTTTTAAAAGTAGGAACAGGCCCGTACCCGCCCCGAACCGTCATTACCCGCCCCTACCCGCGGTTCCTGTACCCGTTTGCCCAGCCCTAGTTCAATGATAAGATTTATTGTTAAAATCAAATTTCTTCCCAATTATCTCTTTGCTTATTTCTTTTTATTTATCTTTTTGTTATTTCTTATTCTTCCTTCTGCTTTAAACCCTATTTATATATTTTATTTTTAATTTTTATAATCAACTTATATCACAGGTTAATTATATTTATCTACCTATATGACAGATTTTTTTTTTAATAATCAACATGTCACAGATTAATGTGTCTTACTTGTAGGTATGTTATTTTTTTCTACCTTTTAATTAGATTTCATATCTCATGTATAGGTATAATATACATTCATATATTTGTTAGAATGTTTTGTAGATAAATTTATGTTAGTATATTAGTTTTTTTGTTATAAGATATTAATTATATTTTTTGGAGTTGAAAAATGCATAATATTAGAAGATTTTAATTGATTTTAATATTTTTAGAAAATATAAAATGAGTATAAAAGAAATCAAAACATATAATTAGATAACTGGACTCACTCCTAAAAACATTCTATGACCTAAATCTAAAAGCCCCTTTTTTCAATTACTAATATTTTTGTCTTAGTTTTTGAAACAGTGGAACTTGCGGGAACAGTAATTGGATATATTATGGAACTTCGACTAGTACACACACATATATGCCGAAAGTTCCAAACAACCGTGGAACTTGCGGAAACTTATGGAATTCTGAACGGCAAAAGAAAGAGAAAAAGAATACAGTATAATTAAGAATAAAAGATAAAAGAGTACGGGGGATCCTAGCTAGGATGAAGTGAAGATCTGAAATGATGGATTGATCATAATCCAGCATCGATCTGGAGCACAACATCATGCGGTCCCATAATTGAGGCGAAGGTGATTGTTTTGTGTTGAGGAAGACGACTAATCTCGTCTAATTCCTCCTCAGTCAAGGACCAACCGAAGATGTCAATGTTCTGATTCATTCTTTCCTTGTTGACGCTCTTTGTTACCAAGCTCACCCCTTGCTGGTACACCCATCTCAACGCTATCTGCAGATCATTAAAAAGAAAGAAGAAAATTTATATTAGGTGGCAAATTAAACAAAAGTAGTTGTGCTAATTATTAAAGTTTTAGAGACAGTTCAGCGGTCCACTACTAATTTAAAACAATATCATTTTCTTCAGTTACATGTGTACCGTGGAACCATTCATTATAAGGGAATTTAACTTCGTCTTCAAGACTGATTAACTAGCTACCTGAGCAGTTGTTTTTCCTTTGGATTCGGCAATGTCTTGGAGGACTTTTGAGCCTAAGACTTTGTTGCCTCCAAATTTAGTCCCGGATGAACCTAACGGAGAGTAGGCCGTTACATGAATGCCCTTTGCCTTACAGAACTCCCTCAGTTTCTTCAGCTGCCAAAGTGGGTTCATCTCCAACTGTATAGTATAACATACAAATGAATTAACAAATAAAATATATAGCCTTATACATGCATGTATATATAAAAAGATAACTGATCATAAAGTAGGAATGTATATGTACTTGGTTGAGGCGGGAGGGATTTTGGCGATGGAAAGGAGGTCCTCAATCATCTCGGAAGTGAAGTTACTCACGCCAATGCCCCTCGCAAGGCCCAATCTCTTGCATTCTTCCATGCCTTCCCAAACTGACTTGATGTCTAAGGGTAGCAGCACCCCCTTTTCCACTGGCATAGAGCTCACCACTTTCCCAAATTTGAAGGGCCAATGTATTAGGTACATATCCACATACTCCAATTGCAGATTCCTACATAATTCATTCATGATTTATAGTGTTAACTAATAGCAAACAAAAGTTAATTAGCTAGGGTTTCAACTTTCATTTAGGAGCTATTTCATAAATATTTGATTTTTCAGTTTTTATTTTATCAGAAAATTTATAACTAAAAATTGAAAGCTATTTTGTGAGTTTTTAAAATTGGAATTTGAAACGTGAAATGTTATCAAACGAGTCCTTAATAATATGAAATATGAATTGATTGATTAAACTGTAACTTTGTCATGGAGGTAGATTGTCTGCCCTCCTGTTTGGGTACCCTTTCCATCCCCTCCTATTATGTGCGGTCACAGTTAAGCCACGTCAATATTTTATATTGATTTTTTATAGAGATAAAGACAAAAAACAATAAGAATATGCAAACAATCTGCCTCCCTTTGTCATACTATCATTCAAACCTTAAACTCTTGTTGATGGCAGGCACTACAAGCTCTCTTTCAGCAAAGCTGGCAAAAAGCTTGGTGGTGATGAAGAGCTCACTCCTGGACTTGACGAGTCCAAGACGCAGTGCCTCAGCTATGGCTTCCCCCAGATCTTGCTCTGACCCGTATACAAAGGCAGTGTCGAAGTGGCGGTAGCCCGCTCTGATGGCTTCAAGAATTGCAGCCTTGGCTGTTTCAGGGTCAACTTTAGGGTACGATGAAGTCCCCATGCCGATCACTGGCATCGTCGTGTCACAGGAGCTCAGTGTTACCTCAGGAACTATCATTGGCGTCATTACTAATTAGCGTACGCCGATCAAGAATTTAAGCTTTCAAATATTCTCGTCAAGAAATTAGAGAGAAGTCTATGGAACTAGAAGATATCTTGGTATCCAGCTTTACCATTGTCTTCCGTTTATATAGGCATGCACCTGCGTGTAGACCATGTCATAAGTCATTTATTTAGTTACAGTTTATGGTTTGAATGTCATGACGTGTGATGGCAGCGGTTAAAAGACGTTTCTTGGTTTTTGGCCTACCAGAATATGTCGTAGTCGTATCTATCCGGCAAACAAATGTAATGTAAAATACCAAATTATACCAAATGTAATGTAAAATACCAAATGTAATGTAAACAAAATTATGAATTTTGTTGCTAGCCTGGCTTTTACGTTTCTTTAAAATTTGCTTTTACAAATTATACATATCATCTTACTTACTTATGAATTTGTCACTTAATATTGAAGTTCTGTAAGTAAGAAATTTTAAATTTGACTCACGTGATTGACAAATTTGATACTAAATTATTATGACAAATTTTGTTGTGTGACTTTGCTCATCCTCATTGATCTCACTCTCAAGTATAAATATAATTTTTTATTAAAAGAAAATTTTATGAGATAAAGATATATATATATATATATATATTACCCTAGGACTATAACTCAATAAGATAAAGATATCGTGCGAAAGAAAAGAAATATTGTCAGTGCGTAGAAACACATTCATTATGCTATCTTAGACACATTTTCAGCTGGACTGGCTGGATATGATTTATTGCCTTGGCTTGCGTCGAAGATCAGGAGGTGGCCGATTTGGTGTTCGAAATGTAAAAGTAATTAGATCGCACATTGAAATTAGGTATGTCTTACATGAAAAATCAGGTACGAGCTCAAGATCACCAAGGGAGGTTGTTATTTACATACTTTGAACAATTATTGTACTTATCATTCTTATTTCATTTTTATTCAAGATTTTTCTCATTTTAAATAAGTAAACATGTTCGAATTCGATTATGAGAATCGGTCATTACGCAAGTTGCTCACCAATAACAGATAAATAATGTTAATGCTGTGAGTATCTAAGATACGGATTACAGTATTATTAGACAATAATGTTTTAAAAGTTCAAATTTGAATTGCTTACTGGCATCGATGAAATTTTTATTATTTGAAAACAATGTCTTAGAAATTGAAATTCGTATTATTAGACAATGAGTAATGTTGTTCATACCATGTTTTTGTACCATACTTTCATACCACCTTAGGTGGCATTTGATGTGGACAGCCACATCATTTGAATTAATTAGATTTTTAAATTTAGTTCATTATTTACTAAACTAATAATTAAGAAAAATTAATTAATTAAATGATGATTATGGTATACGATGAGTCTTTCTCTTTGTTTTCCTTATGTTTTGCAAATTTTTCAAATAATGTGACTGTCCATATTAGAGGTCACCTAAGCTGATATAGAATTATGGTATAAAAATATGGTATGAATAATATTACTCTTAGACAATAATGATTTAGAAGTTGACTTGCTTACTTGACATTTGAATTACAGTATTATTGTGACCTACGACTTTTCGCAAAGACTTGAATATGTCGAACAGAACATTCCAGTTGAAGAATCAGTAACATGTAACTATCGAATAAAGACAAACTGATGTTGGTTCTGGCTCCAATATGAAACGAAAACTCATTCTTTTTCTTACCCTCTTTTTAGTCAAAGCGAGAGATTAATTTATTAGACAAATTGCCAGTGCAAATAGAGAAAGCTGGAGTAAAAAACTGCATAAATATTTAGTCGTCCAACTACATTCATAATTTTAATCCTTTTTTATTTTTTAGAAGGGGTATGATATCCACACATTCCTTTTTACTTATCCCACACCTTTTTGGTTTTCGGCCGTTGGATCGGATGAATTGAAGAAGATCAACGGACAGAAATTAACAAAGGGTGTGTGAGAAGTAAAAATGGGTGTGTGGATAGCACACCCCTTTTAGAATTGGATAACTCTATTGGATTCAGTTTTCAGACTTAAGAGGAAGCATGAATTAATTCAATAATGCATGTCACTTAATACTACGATCTAGTCATGTTTTTGTTTTTACTTGTAAGTTAAAGGTTTTAGGTTCGATTCTCGTCAAAGATGAATTTGAACCACATTATTGTTAGTTCATTGTGAGGCTTAACCTAACTCCCTCCTCTTTAATATAAATGATATCGTTTGTTAAAAAAAAATTA